CAAATCTCATTTTGGGGACCGCGCGCAAATCCACATGAGGCTGTTAATCACCACTTCACCCGTTCCCCCCGACACAAGCATCTGCTCGAGCCACAACGGCCGGGAACAACAGCATGCTCACCGCCGGCACCCGACGGCGAACATGGGGATCTGCAGGTACTAGAAGTATAAGTAGTATGATTAGGATTACTATTAGTATGATACAGATTAGTGCTACTGGTAGTTTCAGTATTACTAGTATTATTTCTGTATGTCTAACTGTCTAACCGCATTGCTAAGAATCTGAAGTTCTGACTGTTGGCCAATTCCTATCCTGGACACGGTATCTCTAACGGCAGCATATGGCAGCATAGGATTCTAATGACCATGAGAAAGATAGCCACTTAAGAAGCCAAGAGTGTTTTACGTTCGGTGCTCCTTAAAATTGCCATGGGCTTTGTTTGGGCTAGCACAAAAGTCCGAGCCTGTATCTGAACTGCGCAGTTGCCGCTTGTAAGGTAAGGGGGTCACTATGCAGAGGAAGCTTTTTTCCAAAGCGTGATTATTTCGAAGCTCACTGGGCCACCTTGCTGCAGTTGTCAGTGTACTTAGAAGTGAGGCATTGCTCAGCTGAGGACACGCTATCTCTTCGCAATTTACTTGGCTGCCTGCGGTCTGTATGATCGCCCAAAGTGCGAGGGGGGCAGACCGCAAGCGTGTATTGCAACCCTTCTGTCATCTCAAATTGAAGCATGGTAAGCATGAAAAATTTCCATAGTAATCCTACCAAGGGCCTTTAAAGCCCTTCTGCAAGATGAGTGGCAAAAGATGCTAAAGCTTGCCAAATCATGACAGGGGTTATAGCAGCTATCTAGTGTAGAAGCCTGAACAACTCCCAATAGTATAGGGTACCTCAAATAGACCTCAAGCCGATATTGCTAATTATTCAGGCCACCATAGTAGCTGTAGTGTATTCCAGTACCCTAAGCCCTAAACCCTAAACCCTAAACAGTGTCAGCCTGCAAACCTACTCTGCATTGTGCTGCTCTTTGCTGTCCTGACAAGTCCAATGCCATGACAAACATGTTGCATATGAGCTATAGTCTAAACTCCTTAAGGGGAGTTATATATATATATAGGGTGTTATGTAGGGTTTAGAGTTTACAGTCTAAATTGGGTTGTATAGGGGATTCTACAGGGGACTGTTATAGGGCTAATTAAGAGGATTCTAGGAGTTTAGACTATAGCTCACATGCTACTTCTCTCCTCACGCTTAGCTGTTTTCAACGCCTTGCAACAAGCATAATATGTGGGCCTGCTTGCTATTTGCGCATGGCGCAAATCTATCACGCAGATGTCGAATATTATCAGGAGCATAATTTGAGAAACCTAAATCGTCAAGCATTGTGTTAGTCTGGGATGATTTCGGGAACATGGTGGGTTTGCCCTACTTGAGGGCGGAAGCCTCTCCAAGAGTCGGGCGTGATGCCAAGGTGCGTGTATAGGGTTCCTGGGTCATTGTTTACCATAATATGTAATCTCCACTATATTATGAAGACTCTATAGAAATGCCTTGGAATTACAAGTTGTACTGAGGTCTCATAAAGGAGCCAGATTCAACGTCTAGAATGCAGGATTTGGGGAGGTGCTCCAAACCACCCTGCCAACGCTAGCCACATAAGGTTCTCCCTTAATAAGGCTTAAATGAGATTAGCTTAGGCTAGCTACTTAAACAGAAGCCTAAACCCTGAACCTTAACCTCTAAACCCCCTAAACCCTAAACTCGGCAAAGACCGGGTGTAGTAGAGGCGGGTGTGGTTAGGAAACGCCGGAAGTTGAAGTATTTGAATGGTTTAGGGATTTAGGGATCTACGGGCTAAGGGCGATTCAAACCTTCAGCTTCAAGGCTTAGGATTTAGGAGTTTAGGCTTCGCAGGAATGTAGGAATAGATCCCCACGGTAGTCCTGTTCTAATTCCCTCAAGCAGCCGATATAACCCAAGACCCTAAACTATTCCCTAGTTTAGTAAGCAGCCTTACTGTAGGGTTTAGGGTTTGAGATCGACCCTCAAGTCGCCCCCATGCTGATGGTCTACGAGGTTTCCATAGGTGACTGGATTTGGGTTTGACATGAGACGTAGTGTACACAGGGACGCAATACTACCGTGGCAGCCCGAAAGGTCCAGTAAGATGTGTCATCCTTTGAGGTGTAGGGTTTTATTAGAAGAATAGAATCTTTTTTGGTGCAGCTACCAAAAAGGCTGTTCATGCCAGGGTTTCCAAGGGGGCGTCTACATTAAAACTGATAGCATTTGTGCATATTTAAGGGGGACCCTTTTTGCTGGAGATACCTGGCTAGGAATGAAGGAAGGGATCCTCCCAGTAGTCCCTAAAAAACCATTATAGTAGTTTCAATGTTCTTTTCCATTCCTTTATTCCCAGCTAACTACAGGTAAGATAACTGTGACCCACAGATCCTAGACACGCACTGAACAATTGGCCCTCTTGGCCTCTGCTGTTGATTTGCTCGGAGCATGTGGCGATGCCACTGACTTGAGGTTCAGATGCTCTCTGGGTTTAGGGTTTAGGGTGTAGGGGCATTTCTATTTAGGGCATGGCAGTTTGGCCCTACAAACTTGTAGAGAGAATAGAGTAAGAGGTCCTTTTTCCTCATGACTATCACATGTGCAGATCCTTTTTAGCAAAGCTGCACAATCTTACCCTACACCCTAAACCTATATAACCTAAACCCTACACCCTAAAGCCTATAATCATATCTAAACCCTAAACCCTAAACCTTACACCCTGGACCCTGGGTTCTGCAGCTTCGCCTCAATCCTTGCTGCACATGATGCATAGACACAGTTCGTGGATTGATACTCAGCAAGTTGACGTAAGTTACCATGGCTTAGGGTGTATAGGTTCAGGGTATATTATAGTGGTTTAGGGTTTATGGGTTCAGGGTATTTTTTAATAATGGGCGGCGGGCTTCTTAACAGCAACCCACATTCGTAACGTCACCTCTTGCGGCGAGCACTGTAATGAGAGATGCGTTGCTGGACTTCTCGAGCAACCCACCTACCAGTGGCCCTATAGCCACTACTAGTCTGGCTGATTCAGGGTTTAGGGTTTAGGCTTTTAGGTTTTAGCGTTGGGGTACAAGGTTTAAGCTGAGGAACTGGGGTATAGGGTTTAGGCTAACTAGACTGTAGGGTTCGTAACGTGGGAGCTTCCATGAAGAGTTTGCCCCAATATAGACCCCCATGTTTTTCTTGCAGGCACCCCCCCCCCCCAAATGGGCCCCTAGTTACTTTCAGGACACCCCTGCATTACAGGAAGGAAAATGATGCCGACATGTGATTAGCAGACTACCATCATGATCATCATGCCGAAGCGGAGCAAACCCAGAACCAGCCAGTTGTTTGTCAAAGCCGTCGCATCATTCAAGAGCTGCGGCAGTCCCTACTATGAAGTAAACAGCCCAAGTTGCAACCGGGTATAGTCCCCACTTAGGAGATAGAATATGGCTTTGGGTATAGTATAATAAGATCCCCATATACCCCATATTCTATCTACCTCACGGGGACTACAAACCTGTAACCCTAAACCCTAAAGCCTAAATAGTAGTTTTCATTTTCTTTTCCATTATCCTTATATGACCCGTATAATTTACTTCAGGGTGACTATAATATCTTAAAAGTTCTGGGTGCTTACTATTCTGGATCACACCCGAGTTTCGTAAGATGCCTAACGGAGTCCCTATGCAAACCTGAGAGCCTTTTCTACTTCAGTTCCTTGCGTTCCGAAGCTACGAAGGAGGGGTGATACGTGTACGGTTGTTTCCAGAAGCAGGTCGACCTCTAATATACTCCAATATGGGGGTTTCCTGAAATTAGGGGTACTATTTTGAGGGTCCTGGTAATAAGGACTATGGTATGTCGGCGTCTATGTTGGGGTCCCCCTGTTGAGGGCAACTACCATGTATGACAATCCTTCTTGCAGGAAAGCCCAAGCCCCCTGGGCGTGCCGAAAGGGACCCCCGCTGGCTCGAAATTCGTTTCGCAATGCCCCCATGGAGCAAAAGCTGGGCCACATACCGGGTGTTTTGGGGTTTAGAATTCAGGGTGGGTTGCTGTTAAGAAGCTTAGGGGTTTTCACGTACGTATTAGTGTAATCTAAGTTCAATAACAGCAACCCAGCATAAGCACTCGTTCCATTCGTTCAGAAACTTTAGGAAGTAGTTGCTCTTGAGATTCCTGCGCAGCCCTCGTTCAATTACACATAGCTATGGGATGTCTCAGGCGCAGTGTACCTCAAGCCTCATTCTAATCCCACCGCCAAATGAGCCATAGTCTAAGCTCCTTAAACGGGTTATATAGGGCATTATATAAGGGAGTACTATAGGGCTTATTAAGGGGGATACTAGGAGTTTAGACTAAAGCTCAAATAAGCACACCCAGCCCTCTAACAATAGATGTTTAAAAAAGTATGGGGAATGCTTACTGTTGGGGGGCCAAGTGGTTTTGATATCAGCGGAAGTGGTTTTTCTCATGGGTTTGCGGCGGTGCATACACCATTCAACCAGAGCCTGAGAAGCTTTTTTTTTTGGGGGAGGGCAGATTAGATCTTTGTAGTTGTCTCGACACAGTCCCCTCGTAAACATCCCTACAAAGATTTCTCCAGCCCATTCACCACTTCCCCACTACTTAAACTCTAACTTTAAACCTTGAACCTTGAGTGACAAAGATGTACTTTCCTCATTTCCAGGGGAAACAGCCTAGGCCCTAATAGACCCGAAGTAGGACTGTACTTTTCCTTTTGTTCCTTCTACAGAAATAGGGAGAAACCCTAAGCCCTAAACCCTAAACCAAGCACACCCGGTCCAAGAGCTTCTGAGGCCTATAACTATAACCCTAAATAGTAGCTTCCATTTTCGTTTCCATTCTCCCTATATAACCCTTATATCACCACATATAACCCCATGTACCCCTATAAAACCCCTACATAACAAGAGCTCCTGAGGCCTGTCAGAAGGCTTCAGAGTGGCTCGTGGCCGCCCGGCCACTGATTGATCGGGGAAATATTTTTGGGGCTCTTACTGGGGTTTGTAGGGAATAACGGGATCTATTGTACAGGGATTATACTCCCTTGTTCCCTACTGACTCCAAAAAGGCTTTGGCGCTTATAAACCCTAAACCCTAAAAGGCTTTGCGGTTTGGGGTATAGAGCTTTCAAAGCTTGTTAGGTTTCCAGGTATGCGGGGTTCAGGGTTTAGGGATTTTGGGTTTAGTGTCTAGCGCTCAGGAAGCCTGACTTCAAGGATCTAGGATTTAGGTTTTGGGGTTTAGGATTTTGGGGTTAGGGTATAGGATTTAGGGTTTAGGGTTGCAGATCAGGGCTTACAGTAGGGCCCTCCATGGTAAAAGCCTCAGCATTCCATACGGCCAACTACATAAGAACAAGCGATACTCATAGCACTGACGCTACAGTCTTACACCTCAGGTTCTGGAGAGGTGTCTGGGTTGGGGATGGTGTTTACAGATAATTGGGTCACGGTTGTAAGGAACTTACAGTGACTTAAGTAAGTAAGGAGGCTTATTCTGGTAACTCAGTTTAATGTTCTTAACGGCAGCCTGAAGAAGCAGGAGGCATGACATGCTTGCCAGGTAGGAAAAACCAGAATCGATTCGCAGGTGACTCATGAGCCTGCAGGTACAGACTCAAATTCTCGGCTATAATATAAGCCTAATCCCTTCCCACCATTTAAAGATAGGATATCCACCACAGACCCACGCGCAACCAATCCACTCACGGCCACCAATCCACCTACACACACCCCCACCCACACCCACACCCACACCCACACCCACACCCCACCCCCACCCCCACCCCCACCCCCCACCCCCACACCCACCCACACCCACATACACCCAAACACACGCACCCCTCCCGCCCCCGCGCCACGGGCGCCCCCGCCCCCGCACCGCCCCCGCACCGCCACCGCCACCGCCCCTGCCACCGCCACTGCCACCGCAACAACAAGAAAAGAAAAACAAAGAGATACATAACAGATAAGAATGCTGATCATCATCATAACAATAGTAACACTAGTAGTAATCGTAAGAACATAGGAACGATGATACAGCAGATATCAAAAACACCAAGAGAAGACATGGTAATCATCATAAAGCATGATGTTGAGAATAAAAGAAGTAATCGTAGTTCCAATCGTTATTTTGTTCGTCGTGATAGCAGTAGCAGCCAGTAGTAGCAGTAGCCGTAGCCGTAGCCGTAGCAGTACTAGCAGCAGGGGTCATAAGAATATATAAGGGTGACCAAACAAATGGTGGGCTGGCAAGGCATTGTGCTTGCCACGCCCGGACACGGTGGCAGTGGCGGCGGCCATCTCAGCCTGTGAGAAGGGCCAAAAAAGGCGACTCAGTTTGGGTGTGGGCTTGCGTGGCCTGGGCTATGGGCCTGAGGTTCAGGGTTTTGTTTGCAGAGTGCTGCAGGAATTTTCCTGCGTTTTCAAGAAGTATTTTTCTACTAGGGGTCGTTGACGGGATTTTCGGGGTATTGCAAAATTGGGCGAAGTATTGTTGGCTTCTAGAATTGTCTTCATGGTCTCAGGGGACCGTAAAACAGGCCCTCCAGCATGAATCCCATTTTTCTGCTGGTGACGCTCTTCAGAGTCTGCTGTTGCGAGGATCCTTTCCGGGGCCGTCAATTTCGGGGCGGTCATGACCATGATTGCAATCTTGCGAGCATGGCCTCGGACATAAGAACGAAACCCCAGCACCTAGAACCAAACCCTTACACCCTAAAATCCGGGTACCTTTCTCTCCGTCCGGGTATTCTTAATGAGGGACCCTGGGCCCTCACCAGGCGAGGAAATATGCAAGTGACACGAGATGTACCCACCTAGTGTCCTTACAATCCCAATCATCGGTAAACCAACACCCTGAATTGTTGAACTTCTTCCGTATTGGGTTATTGCACAAAACAACAGCTGCACATTCCTTGGTAGTAGTCTCCATGTTCTTTTCCATTCTTCCTATATAACTCCTATATTCTAAGCCCTAAGCTCTGAGCCTTAAATAGTAGCTTCCATTTCCTTTACCATTATCCCCTATACTGGTAGAAGCACCCAATCCGCAACTTTAGACCTCCAATCCCATTTTCGGGCTCATGGCTACACGGTTTAGAGTTTAGAGTTTCAGGTTTAGAGTTTAGGGTTTAGGGCTTAGGGTCTAGAGCTCGGGTATCCCACTCCATGAACCTACACCTCAAAAAAGTAGCCCAAAACCCTCCTTATCCTTTTAATAACCCTATATATATATCCCCATAATAACCCTGAACCCTAAACTCAAACATCCTTCCAGGAGGTCCGGACTTGCCTGGCGCAGCGCTTCTGCACTCTTGGCCGAGCTAGGGCCACGAATGTTGCGCCGGGATGTTTCTTGGAGTTTAGGGTTTAGGGTTTAAGGTTTATTAAGGGGTTTAGGGTTTAGGTTCCTTGGAGAAACTCTAAGGAGTTTAGGCTTTAAGGTTTATTTAGGGTTTAGGGTTTATTTTGGTGTTTATTCAAGGGTTTATTTAGAGGTTTAGGGTTTAGGTTCCTTGGAGAAACCCGAAGGATGCCAGTATACAAATAATACCAATTGTGGAGAATCAAATGGAAAAGAAAATGGAAAATGAGATGGAACAAAAGGGCAATCCCTTTTTTGGGTCCCAACATTTGTAAATATTTCTTTGTAAATATTACCTACATGGGGCTATTTGGATCCCTAGGGAAAGAATGGGGTAGGTCCAAAAATAGGTGTTCCCTCGTATTTCATTATTCCGACAAATACTAAACAGTTCTTATGTCAGACACGCACAGCAGGGACTCATGATTTCCGTAAACGCCGACTTCTACCACGAGGCAGGTACTAGCGACATGCCAACAGACATAACAGTTCTTCTTCTGGTGCGGTTTCACGAGACACCCTAAACCCCAAAACCAGAAACCCTAAAACCCTAAACCCTCGAAAGTCTTTCTGAGAACAATGATGGCAGTTTCTGATTGCGTGGCCTCCCCCAGCCCGATTTCCTGGCCTTAAACAAAGTATTAGTGTAGTAATTTTTGGGTACAGACCTTCCTTTGCTTGGGATGCGAGGAGAGTCGGTATAGAACATAGAACAGACAACGTTTTGGCCTGTGAGAACTCGTAAAACAATGCAGCCGAGAAGTTGTCCTAAACAACGCCGTCGTAGAAAGTTTCATTTTCAGCCGGGGAGACACACTGACACTAATTCGACATTGCACGAAAGGGCATGACAGAATGCGCAGCCGCTTGCCAGTCCGACATCGGAAACCATGTTGCCCTCATCCCCACCGCCTGGCAAGCACGGGCCTTGTCCTGCCTACTTGGTGCAACCGCGGTGCCCTGCTGGGTGGACCCAAGGCCCCTGCTCCCGTCCTCTGCACAAGCTCCCCCTCCAAGCTTGTGAGCGCCTGGTGGCCCTGAGAGCTCTGCAAGTGAATCCATGAAGGCCAAAGGCCGGCGGCGCTCAGATCAAAACCCGGTCTTCCGGTGGTATCGGTGGCCACGACTCCTCCCACAATGCCCGGGTTAAGCCCTCGGGCAACTGCCGCAGTCGCGGTACGCTTTTCCTGTCGACCCTTCTTTGCTCTACTGGCCTCAGGATTTCATCTTTGGGGATTCATCTCCCTCGGCCGCGTTCTGCGTTATCTCGCCTTCTCCCTCCACCCTGACTCTCCCTCCCCGGCCATCCTTCACACCCCGACACGTCGCCTTCTTGCGACACTGCAGCCTAGAATGGAACATCGCAGCAAAGGCGAACACTACCGCTTCTGCCACGCGCACGGTGAAATCTGACATGGGGCAAATCTGGCACCGTGCGCTATGAAGGCCTGAGTGCGCTCTGGTTGTGGCAAGCCCTTCTGCTTGACTGTTGTTTTGCTGTTTCGGTTTGACATCGGATTGATTTTAGGGCTTGAATTACATCTGCTCCTTCTCAGCCGCCAAGTGTCCCACCCAAGACCTGGTGCCGCCCATCAGGGCGACGCGGGTGCCGTGCGTGCGGCTGCATTGCAAAAGACTCTGTTGCCGGAAACAGAACAAGGTGAGCGCTGGTGGGCTTTGTTGTGGCATGTGCTGGAAGTCTTTGACCTTAACCCTGGCAGGGCTCGCATTAAAAGTCAGGCTCGAATTCAACTTGACCTTTCCCCGTCACAAACCTGATTTGACGTCTACATACTGGTGTCTCACGTCCTGTATCTCCACCTTCCAGGCAAACCCGTCACGGCGATCCAACAGACTCTCCGCATCAACCCCAGCCTGCAAACACTGTTGCTGTACTCCGTGCTTCACTGCTGATATCGCGCACAGGCTGCCCGCCCACGCGACGAGGCCAAATCAACAATTGATAGCCCAAAAATATCCCTGAATCGGTCTACATATATATACATTCTGTTTGTATCACCACAAAGACTTGAAATCTGAAGATACCTCCCAGCTAGGACGATTTTTTGCAACGTGTCCTCGATCGAGTCCCTCAGCGATTGTCAGAGTAACACTAATAGTCAAGCATAGTCTCTCAGGATCCAGCAGCCGCACCACGGCCTGTGCCCGGCTAAGCAAACAAAAGAAGGGTGAAGCTAAATTGCTTACTGGACGATCAAATTTCGGTATGTAACAAGTGCAGACCCACTGGTCCCGTCCACAAACAAGAAAAAAACAACGCTCAGGCCGACGTTCTCAGCTTCCTGGGCCTCACGCAAAAGGACGCTCGCACGCCTCATGCTCCCCCGACAGTGCCCAACTCGAACCCTTCCAGTGCAGGAGCTGCGCAAGAACTACAACTGGAAGAAGGCGAAGGCCGACCGATGTTCCGCCACGAAATCCCGCTCGCATCAAATTTCACTACAGTCCAGGCAGTGGTGTTCGAGATCCGCAGATTCCGCACCCACAAAGTGATGGATGCAGCCCGGGCCCTGGCAACTTCCACATCACTTCACCCAGCATGGCGACTTTTCGTCAGGCGGAGCTAGTACCGTCATCCAAGCGGCAAGATTGGATGCAGGCTGCGACCGCAAGTGCTTCCACAGCATCACACAATCATGTGAGGAGCATGCAGGAGCGGTATGTTCCAGCTCCAGATGAAGACTTGATCTTGAAAACCTGCTATCCGTGAACAGGACGACGACCTGAAGGCAAATCTCAGGCCTTAAGCTTGTACGATTCATTGCTTCCAACGACGCTGCAGGCACTACAGCAAAGGTTCCAGCGCCTCGTCGGAGCCCAAGTCGGCAAAGCGAAAACAAAATCTAATGTATTAACACGATTCATTTCACTGCATCTCGAACACGCGAGGTGGACAGGTACCCTAAAACCCTAAAATCCATATTAAGAAGGCTTGAGGGACTTTGGAATGGGCAGTTCTTTTAAGACAAAGCGATGCAGGCTGGGGCATGACTTCGCAGTACCCTAAACTCTTGAACCCCGAAACCCCTAAACCCTAAATGCTTAAACTCTAAGCCTCAAACCCCGAAAACTCTAAATTCCCCAACCCTAAACCCCTACACCGATAAACTCCCTAAACCCTATATGAGCTATAGTCTAAACTCCTTAAAGGGGATTATCTTGGGGACTAATATGGGGGCTATTAAGGGGCATGCTAGGAGTTTAGACTATAGAAAATACATATATGAGACAGACTTGACAAAACCCTTCCAAAAAGTTTCGACCCGGAACTCAAGGGATTCTTTGCAAGAACATTCCTGGCTTAGGGTTCAGGGTCTGGGGCTTAGGGTTTAGGGTTCAAGGTTTAGGGCTTAGGGCCTTGAACCCCAAGCCCTAGACCCTGAACCCTAAACCCCTAATCCCTAAACCCCTAAACCCTAAGCCCCTAAACCCTAAACCCTAAACCCTCGAAGGTTATTTGCAACAACGCAGCCTTTAGCGCCTTCGAGCAGCTTGGCTTTCATGTGCAGACATGTCCCCAACAGGATACCCAGACCCCTTGGAGGATCTAAAGATTAGATCCCCTAAATAGACCCATTATAACTTATAACCCCTATATAATCCTTCTATAATTCCCCCTATGGTTCTAGGGGATCTATTTTTTAGATCCTTTTGGGGGTCTGGGTATGGCTTGGGGCTTTGGATAATGCAGGTTTAAGATGTAGGGTTTGCCGCAGGATTTAGGGTATAAGGTTTAGGGTAGGACCCTTTGTAATGGGCACGGAGGTAACTTGGGTTCCCCCCCCCAAAGCATCTGACAAGCCATATCCGGAGCTATTCTTGCAAAGAAGTTTTTGGTAGCACCAACCCCCGTAGCCCAGCTTCCATATTATAATTCATTTCAATTTCCATCCGGCTTCAACTTTGGAAAATGCTGAGACCTTTCAAGCCCAAAGCCTCAACAAAAAGCTGTGTCCGCCTTCTCCTCCACTATAGTTATACTCCTAAACCCCAAACCATTGCAATACGATTGTGCTTCCAATCATGTGCGCCGTTTTCCGTAGTAGAAGAAGAGCATGAACATGGCAGTCACCAGTTTGCAGTGCTTGGTGGTTCATACGAACTTTGCATCTGCTTAGAAGGGCTTAAGGTTTAGGGATAATCCGTACTTACACCTAAGGTTCAGGATGAGGTTTCGGACTTTAGGACCTATAGGCCCCCTTAAGTAGATAGAATATGGCGTAGGATATATTATGGTAAGATCCCCATCTACCCCATAGTCTATCTACTTAAGGAGGACTATAGCCCTACATTATCTTTTTGGCCTAAACCCTAAACCCACCCTAAACCCCATGCAGCCAGCTGGTCAGCTAGGGGGGCTATAAGCTACATCTATTAACTTATAACCCTGATAGAAGAGATTGCTAAGCCCTTGAGCCTGCAAGCGGTGTCTATGAGCAAGCCAAGTTTCTTGAAAGGGCATGAACGTGGAGGCAGAAATATCCACACTTGCATCTATGCTCTGTTCTTTTGAGGGTAGAGAAGTAGGGCTTTCTATTGAATACATGCCTCAGCCTCAGTTAAAAAAGCAGGAGCCTGCATTCATTACATTTCTTAGAACCGTTCTCTCCCTTCCATTGTTTCATGAGTGCCTTTGTGTAGCTCAGTCTACTGGAACGCCGAAACAAGGATTGTCACACTTTGCCCGACCCGAAACTCAGCATTCAAGCGCGGAAGCTCCCCTTAGCCGCCCGAAGCTTCATGGACCCTAAATGGGAGTTTCTCAAAATTAGGGGTACTTTTCCGGGGATCCTTATAACGAGGACTTTAGGGTTTTTGGTTCTATATTGAGGTCCACCTATTTTGGGAAACTACAAAATTCTGAACCCTAAGCCCCAGACTAGCCAAATCCTAAACTCCCCCAGAAACAGAGCAACCCAAACCTACGCCCAACGCCCCAAAAGGAAGGCCCAACGATGGTCCCACGCCCTGGCGCTCCTCGAGACGATTCCAACGTTGGAGATGGGACTTCTTGGTGCCTTGCTGGCAGAGTGTAGGGTTTAGGGTGGAGGCTGTAGGGTTCATATAGGAGTCATATAGGGTTCATATAGGGTTCATATAGGGGTCGTATAGAATTATATAGGGGTTATACAGGAGTTATATAGGTTTGGGTTTAGGGTTCAGGGCTTCGGGTTTAGGATGTAGGGTCTATAGAGTCTGGCGTGACTGCTATATACCAGATTCTATTGTTACGAGGTTGCTGATACAGATCTTGCTATTAGGATTGTGATTATAGTTAACGTGTTTCCATACCCGTCTTCTCACTCCTCGTGACTGATAGTTCTAATGAGGGTATTACTGCCGTTCCCACGGAAGATAACGTAAACCCTAAACCCTAAACCCTTATTACTCTCAACCTACCCAGGGGGGTCAGAAAAACAGAAACCAGGCACCCTCATTAACAAACCCTTAAACCCACACGCCCTAAACCTTAAATCCAAGGAAGGGCCACGAAGTTAGGGCCCCTGAAATCCTGCGGTTCTGAGGTTTGAGGAATTGACTTACGGCGGGGAGGGGGGTCTGCACTCTACTAGGACCCCTGAATAAGTTTGGGGTTTAAGGTTTTGATTAGGGGTTTAGGGTTTAGAGTTTTAGGGAGCTACAGTCTAAACTCCTTAAAAAGGGGTCATATAGGGATTAGGGAATAGGATTTAGGGGTTTAGAGCGCAAACTCCTAAAAGGGGTTTATATAGGGACTAGGATTTAGGGTGAACTTCCTTTAAGGGGTTATATGGTTATATAGAGATCGGGGTTTAAGGTTTAGGCTCTACACTCCTTAGAGGGGTTAAACAAGGGGGACTATTACAGGGGTTATGTAAGGGGGATGCTAAGAGTTTAGCCGATGGCTCACATAACCACCCCTAAGCCCTAAACCCTACAAACCTGAAAAAGGTGGCTCTAGAACACATTCCAGAGGGCCTGTTGACTACACAGTGTCTGACACTTTAGATCAAGGTTATAGCCTCCTGCTATAGGTATAGTATGCCATAGAAGATCATACGACTTGTTTCAAAAACCAACTCAAAAGCTTATCATCAGAAACTCAACTCCATCCGAGATGGCCCAATGGCAGCAATAGTTCTAGTGAAAACCAAGGTTCCGCAACCAGCAACAATAGCCGTGACCCACAGGAGATAGAGCAGCAGTGCTATCGGTAGGAGTGTGCAAGCAGCAGCAGCAGCAGCAGCAGCAGCAGCAGTCGCAGTCGTTGGTGTGCTACGCTGCTTGTTTCGGCCTACATCCCAGACCGATAACCCTGAAAACTGAGCCCCGAACACCGAGACCCAAACCCTAAACCCTAAACGCTCAATCCTTAATCCTTAATCCTACATCCTACAAGCCCTAAAGCGTGAGGTCTCTCGAGCACGTTGGCCGCGTGCGCCTCAGCTGAACAGCGTGAGGCTGCTTGCCAGCTTCAGCGCACGATGGAAGCTGAGGCGAGGGAGACAAATGAGCTATAGTCTAAACTCCTAGTATCCCCCTTAGTAAGCCTTATAAGAGGAACGCTATATAGTCCCCTATAAAACCCTCTTTGAAGAGTTTAGACTACAGCTCAAATGGAAGTCAAATGGAAATCCGATGGAGAATCGTATGGAAATTGGGGCCACTTTGGGGTAAAGGGCTTTAGGGCTTACTGGCTATCAGTAGGGAGTGGAGAATCTAATGAAAAATGGAAGATAGAATGGAAACAGGGGGTGTATTGGGACTACAAAGAGACGTATATTAGATATGAAGAGAATCTACATGAAGATGCTACATGGGAGGTTGTCGACATTGAGGTCCCTTTGAGAGGTACTCTTCATACAAGGGGCCATACTATTATCGGAACCCAAAGGGACCCCACGAATTTGACAACCTCCCGCAGGAAGATTCCGGTAGTGTTACATTTTTTGCAGGTACCATGGATGGTAATAGCTCTAAAGAATCATTTGTAAGGGAAGGTTGAATGTATGTAGTAGGTATTTTTCAGGAGCGCTCTACACCACTAGGCTTCTATGATATAAGGGCCTATATAATTACCAATATTATGCTTCCATATTCCGTTTAGAATTATTGTATATGGTACCTCAAATGGACCTCAAAATGATATTGGTAATTATGTAGGCCTCTGTAGTATTTGGTAGCCACCCGCCCCAACATTGACAACCCTGATTATGGTTAAGGGTTTAGGGTAGGTTACGGGATCCTGGTTCTGGACGATGGGCTTGCCTAAAAGCACGTAGAAGGTTGCACGGATAGGGGGACCCCCAAACATACCCCTGAAAACCGATGATCCTTATTCTGGGTACTCCCAACAGAGGGTTCTCTAATTGCTGCAAACCTTCACGTATGGGCGTAGAGTTGAGACTCCCCACGGACTCCAAGCACAAGGCTTCGGGGCCATGTTGGAAAGAGGCCCCTGAACCAGGTTTAGGTTTTGGTGTTTATGGTGAATAGTAGCAATACTACTCCTGTACGATCCTCATATGGCTAGCGCATGTTCCAATCACACCTTAGATCCCTAAACCCTAAACCCTAAATTTTAGGGGAGCCCGACGTGGAGGTGGATGAACTTTGAATTTGGTGCAACCACATCGTGTCCTTTCCAGCAAACCATGCCTCTCATTGTCCAGACCCTAGACCCTGAACCCCAAACCCTAAACCCTAACCTGTGCAGCCACATGGGTAGTTCAAAACTAGAGTCCTATTTTGGTAGCCCAATCATGAGGTGCCATAATATGATTTGTAAAGAAAATGGGGGACCGTGATTTTGCGAATAACTCACATGGAAAGGTGAACTCATCAGGAGCTTTAGGATTATAAGGAGGGGCTTAGGATTTGGGATTTAGGGTTTAGGGAAGCAGTTTTAGGATCATTTACTCGCGCATTTGTCCACATCTTTATGATCAATTGCAATGCGTAGGTTGAAAGAATTCCTTTGTTGACACAACCCACCGACAAAAATCCTTCTGGGGATCATTATCATAAGGCTTATAGCATTTTTAGGTCTATACTGGAGTCCCCTTTTTTGGGAAACTACCAGTTAATCCCACCAAAGCAAGATCCTCAATTCTTCCAGGGCATCCGCGCAACAGCCAGTAGCCCCTTGGCGCAGACGGGCGAGATCCGGGCATTTGCTGAATTCGCATGGGAGCCATAAACATGTGTTTCTTACGAGTCGAAGTAGTGTTCGGGGGTTGTCGAAATTGTGGTTCGCTTAGGTGAGAGGCAGCACCCCAACAGGACCACAATGTTTACCTACCATGACACCCTCAACCCTAGACCCAAACGATTGCTATGCGCCTCTAAGAATGATGCCTGTCTTATCGCCAACTTGAACATCATCAACATCCTCATTTCGATCCTTAAAATCTTCATGCTGCTCATGCACTGCTGTAATGTCCTTGACCGTCTGTTTCAAATGGCTTGGGCTCTTGTGATACCACCCAGTGTGCATGTACACAGGTACATGTTGCTACTGCAGGCCCCTCACGAAAGAATCGTGATGCAATTCATGATAAGGATCTGAATTTGAGGATCCGTCGTAACTGAGATTTTGACAGGGATCCTTGCATTGAGGTCTCTACAAAGCAACGTGCCCTTAACCCAGAACCCCCGGCTTTGCTATAGGCTTCTGGCGAATGTTGCCCCTCCGTGGGCAATTTGAATAAGAGTGCCTTATTCACCCGGACTTCTGCAGTACTTGGACGTTCATGTTCAAGTACATGTGGCCCAATTCAGGGCACTTACAAGCCCACTCATACCAATCGATACATGCACAAGACCCACACCTAAAACCCCAGACCTTTAAATTCTAGGCCCTCGGCCCTTAACCGTACACTCCTACACCCCAAACCCTTAAATCCTAGTCCTAAACCCCTGAACCCTTGTAGGTCTTGTCGAGGAACCCTAGCCTTGGGTCAATCGCCCATACAGTAATAGCCACTAAACATGGAGTTCATGGGGCCTCAATATGGTACTTTCCCTAAACAGGGGAGCCCCAATATAGACCCCAAATTATTATAGTCCTTATTATCCAAACAGGTATTCCGAATTTTGGGAAACTTCCATATACCTACCATACTCCTTTGTGGTACCCATTCCTAGGTGTGGGATTGACCCTGGTCCCTAAACCCTAAATCCCTAAACCCTCAACTCTAAACCCCTAAACCGTCTAAACCCTAAATCCCGAAACCCCTACATCCCTAAAACCCTAAATCCCTAAACCTTTTTAGGTCTTTTCAAAGATCTCGAAGCAAGGTCTCGGTGTGCTGGTTGTTGCCTTGGGCAGCAGCCCCTCCCATGGCCAGCGCCAAGAGATTCCGTGACTGGGCTGTGGGTTGGGTACTTTCATGGCCTACAGGTTTAGGGATTAGGGTTTAGGGTTTGGGGATGTTACTCCTGAGTATGGAGAATCAAATGGCAAAGAAGATTGGAACTGAAATGGAAGCTGAGGCTCTTTGTTCAGGTTGCAAGAGGTTGTAGTTTCTGTGAAGAGGGGGACCCCCAATACAGACACCAATATGCCTTAATCCTGCCCATAGGGACCCCTAATTCTCGCAAACTCACATTTCTACTTTTTTTGTGCTTGTATAGGGCGTGGGGTCAAGAGTTCAGATCTTAGACCTACATTTGGAAAAATCCGACCTCAAAACTAAGACCTTATGACCATCATATTGAAGTGGTTGTAGTAGGGTCCTGAATCTGGGGGCAGGAGTTTCGTTAGGGGGGAGGGGAAGGGGGGCGGGGGAGGGGGGGATGGGAAAACAGAAGCCAAACAATATGGATTGAGATAGGGCTATGGTTTAGGAATCATTGCTTCGGACGTAGTTACTAATTCAGACTGGGACGAAGTAAGTTATTTCCCCGACCGCCAACGATGCCTGGGCACAAAGCTATGTCTACACTCCTTAAAGGGGGTTGTACAGGGCATTGTATATGGGAGTACTTTGGTTACTAAGGGGGGTACTAGGAGTGTTAGACCCTGAACCCAAAACTTGAACCCTAAATCCTATACAATTTGGGTGATTAAGTGGGATGCTAGGAATTTAGACGATGGCTCATATCAGCATTAAATTAGCAAGGGGTGAAAGACCTGAATCTGGAGAGGGTGAGGCGGAGTTTAGTGTTTTGGTTTAGGGTTTAGGGGCCATTTGCTTGAGAAGCCGTATTGCTGAGTGGGCAGGGGTATAGGTGTGCAAGGGTCATCGATTTAGGTTTGGCCTTGTAGACTGCAGCATTGTGGTACAATCCATGACATTGCATTGTGTCAAGTGATACGTCTGGAGCTTGAAGCACATTGGCGCTACTGTCATCCAAGCTTGTATGGTATTGCTTGCACCATGCGTCAATTAGCTGCTGATTTCAAAGCTCCAAGCCAGACGTCAAGCTCCAGCAACATGTCTGGTCCTTCAGTGGTACTGCTGATTTTCCATGCGAGCCATGAAACCCTAAACCCCCCCTAAACCCTAAACCCTATACCATTTGAGGTATTAAGGGGGATACAAGGAGTTTAGATCATAGCTCATGTGCTGTCTGCGGAATGCCTGCCAGACGAGGAGGTCAGCGGGTTGAGGCTTCTGAGATCATGGTTGAGGGTATGGGGTGTTTCATTCACTGTCACTGTCATCGTTCTGGCACTTACCATCCTTTGCTGACTGTCCCGGGACAGTACCGAAATACCTACAGTACTTGGTTGGTGCTGGATCTCCAAAGTAGTCCCCCAACAACAGTCCCCAAAACTATCTATCTCCAAATCCTTACCACACAAAACAAAAAGCCAAAAAACTAAACTTGAAAACACCCCTGAACCCTCAGCCCCCCAAACCGCTAGCCTGCCTCCAAACCCTGCAGCACCCTAAATGTAACCTCTGAACTGCCAGGCTCTTCAAACCCTAAAGCACCAGGTAGAGTAACTATAACAGCCGCCCGCCCCGGAACATTAGATATCTCGATTCTGGTAGATCGTAGTATCATAGTTTTTTACTAAGGAGATTTAATATTAGACCTTACTATCGGGAGGGGATTACTCAGGGAGTTTTCCTTAGTACCGTTAGGGTTTGTACCCTTGGGTTTCGGGCCCCTAAGGCCCTTTACAGTGGTATTTGGGACCCAAAACCTAAGGTTACAAACATTAAGGGTACAAACTTCAAATTGTTGAATTACCACCCTAAAGCCCTAAACCAGAGCTAAGGTCTCTCCTATCAGAAGTGCGAGCCGCGGTGCTGGATCTTCGTGAGTTGCCCAAAGGCGTGTTTCAATCGAAGAAAGAGCGCATATGTCTGGGAATGCTCCAGGGTTGCGCGAGGGCCTCTAAAGGGGGGCAGTGGCATAGGGGCTGTATAGGGGTTATGTCGTCAGGGAGTTTAGGGTTTAGGGCTCAGGGTCTGGGAGGTAGA